AATAATAATAATAATAATAATAATAATAATAATAATAATAATAATAATAATAATAATAATAATAATAATAATAATAATAATAATAATAATAATAATAATAATAATAATAATAATAATAATAATAATAATAATAATAATAATAATAATAATAATAATAATGATAATAATAATAATAATAATAATCGTTCTGGTCATAATAGTAGTGATGATAATATTATTGCTAATAATAGTATTGCGATATAATTAAGATTATTGTTATTGTTTATTGATTATTTTTTCTTTGTTATTGAGTAAATAATTACGAGTTACCATTTTTCCCAAATTTTTGTTCTAAATTAAAATGAAATATTTTATTTGTGTAAGCGAATATGAGGTATATTAACATATTGTTTATCTTATCATATCCTACCAATGCATTTGAAATCTGATAGAGAAATAAAAATAAACGGGAAATGTAAGCTTTCATCAATAAATATAAATTTTTATGAAAGAGTAGGAAGCGAGAAGAACTAAACATTTATAAACTTGTAATATAAACAAATTTTAAAAATTTACATCTTAAAAAAAGCCTCTTATGCATTAATTAAATAATAATACTGTAGTGTGATAAAGATTTAAAAATTATAAATCACTTCAAGTTTTGCTCAATTTTACAACTCATTATTGCTTTATGAATCTATTAGAAGGAAAAAGGGAATGGAAAATTGGAAAGTAAAAAAGCTTGTAATTAAAAGCAAAATTGTTGACATTAGAAAGAAAGTTCGTATTGTGCTTAAACTTTTATCGGTTTATATTTGAAATTCATGCAAAATTAATTTGGCATTATTCTTTAATCACATTTTATCTGACCGCAGTTTTCAGAGATTTCCTTTAAATTTAGCTCACTTCGAAAAAAAAGTTTTTAAAAGTATACAAAAAAATTTGTGAAAGTTATAAAAACTAAAACTTAGTAGATTTTCAATTTTTTTTCAGCTAGCAGGGGACATTTGCAGAACAATTATTTTTGTCACCGAGTATAGCGTATATCTTATACCACTTATATTCCGTTGCTCAGTATTTTGCTTGTTTTTTGATTCCCTCAATTCGTTCTTATGATTCAATACTTTCTAATATTTCATTATTCATTCATTTTACTTCATTTATTTTCATCA